ACCCTGGTCGGTCGTCTTCTCAATCCGGCGCCACCCAGCTGGTAGGAGCCGCCTCCTACCCTGGTCGGTCATCTACTCAATCCGGCGCCATCCAGCTGGTAGGAGCCGCCCCCTACCCTGGTCGGTCATCTACTCAATCCGGCCGCTGATGGCGGCCTCCGACCTCCTTCCGACTTCTGGGGAGGCCCTAACCTAGCTGGCCGCTGGGGGCAGCCTCCCATCTCCTCCCTACTTCTGGGGAAGCTGTACCCTGGCTTGCCGCTGGGGACAGCCTCCAACCTCCCCCAACCTCTGGGCAGGCCCTACCCTAGCCGGCCACAGGACTGGACAGGCTGCCAGCTGCGCCGGCCGTCACCCACCTCGGATCTTGACGCAGCTCTTGTCGAGGCCCCGCGGGCAGGTCATCTCGAACCGCAGCTCGGGGTCCTTCGCGTTGAGCTGAGAGCAGCGCGGGTAGGAGTGCGCTCGGTCGGCGATGGCGCGCGGCAGCGAGACGCCGGCGATGTTGTGGTTCGGCATGCAGGCGTAACAGCGCAGCGCCGCCGCACCTGGAACGGGACAGCGCAGGTCAGGTCAGGTCAGGGGCGGCGGGGCTGCAGCTGGGGATGAGCCGGCGGCGGCTGGTGACGCCTCCGGTGGGGTGCACTTCTGCGGCGCGCCGCCTCCGGTGGTGGCCAGCTTCGGTGTGCACCGTTCTGGCCGGTGGCGTGGGTTCTTGCAGCGACAGTGACGGATAGAAATCCAGCAATTTTATCGAGGGTCGCGCATGCGGCTGAAACCGTTGGGATCGGCTCCGAAAGGCTCCGTGAGTCAAGGCAACCAGTGGTCTAAGTCTTCAGGAAGAGAGGGCAACGGATTGTGATCGTAGAGAACACTTCTGGAGCAATTCGCCACAATTGAGAGTGCAGCGGACCCCCGAAGTCTGAACCATGCCCGTCGTTTGGCCGCCGACCGGATGCGCGCACTTGTCAAAAACAGCAAGCGCCATGCCCTTGTGCACCTCTGACGTGCTGCTGCTGCTGCCGCTAGCATGCTGTTGCCATCGCCTGCTGGTGAGCCGGCCGGCCGTGTGGGCGGCGTGACACTTCCGCAGGTCTTCCCCTGATCGTCGGCTATCAGCCGCCTGTCCGGTTCCGCCCAGGCCGGCAGCGCCAGCTGACCACCACCACCGTGCCACACAGGGCGAGGCAACCGGCCCAGTGCCTCCGTGTTGCGTATGTGTGACGCTTGCCATGCCACTCGGGCTGTATAATGAATGCTACCGCTACGATGACAGCTATATTACATAACGCCATTGGCTCTGTGCAACTTTGGCCACCGTTTGGGCCAAGATCCCAGCGTGCACCTCTCACGGCTGCACGTGATCGTCGTTTGAGGGCGCATGAGCATCGCAGGACCGTGTTGCGCCAGGCGTGCGTTGTTTTCACCGCCGTCCGCGCCGCGCGCCGCGTGGACGCGCGCCGCCCTTCTCAGGGTGACCTTCCGAACGGCCGGGCCCTCGTTAGCATTTGCAGCGCTCCTTGGAGCTCCGACTGTTTTTTGGCGTGGTCCCATAGGCGTGTGGGCGTGTGTCTTGTCAGTGAGATCCGGCGTCCGCACCGGTGGCGTCCGCCGCGACAAGCGCGATCGATAGACAATCGCGCCTTTCGTGGTTCCTCCGCCGTAACGATATTTGGTCCGCGAGATGGCAGGAGTGCTGGTGATCGCTGAGATCGGGCCATTTGCCAGACGCTCTTCAGCCATGCAATCCTCAAACCGTGTTTGAAGATTGTGGTGCCAATTGTGGGTAGCGCCCTAAGCCCTTTCGTGCTTACCCAGCCAGTTTCCCATGCACTTTTTCCAACGTTCGGTCTCACCCAGTGGCTTGTTTTCGCAAAATATATTGGCGGACTGAACAGAGAAAATGTCTGACCGTATCCCCCCTCCCCCCCCCGCCCAGAAAAGCCATGGTAGTCGTGGACGCAAAAGTAGTCTCTGAGAGCAGACGCGACCTGCATTTGGCAGACAGGACGTGTGTAACAAATAAAGCACCCCGTGAGTGAAGGCACGCCGCCAATGAAACACCCAGCGAATAGAGCAGCCACTGAAGGCGAGGGTCGACCACGTCCTTGTGCTTTCGGCGTTCACCTCGCTGTTCCAGCGCGTGACGTGTTTGTGTCATTGTCCGGAAGATGGCGTTGTGTGTGGCGCGGCCGGCCGGTCCCCGCTGGCGCAAGCGAGCCGCCAGACGGTCGTGCTGGCGCGGCTGCACGCTGTCGGCGCAGCTAGGCCATGCGCCGCCGCTTGACCCAAAGACGAGGGGCGTTGTCGGCGGGCGCCGCCGGCGTCGCTGGAGACGGGCCCTGTAGTGGGCGTGCCGCGGCTACCAGGCCCATTGACGGGCATACCACGGTTGGCATGTGCAAACCCTGAGTCATGTTGCGGCCATGTGTCGTGAAAGGCAGACCCGGTGATATGCGTACTTTGGCGTCTTCTGCGCCTCTCTTGTCGCCAGCTCGGGTCTGGCCGGTTCTCTGACCCGCAGGCCAGTGCCAGAAGCGCGCGCCGCCGGCCGTGGCGACGCACGACGCGGCCCGATCCGCGGAATTCGCGCCGGAGGCCGGCGGCCGGAATGGCGCCGACATGACAGCCGGGCTTCTCCACGCGCCCAGGAGAGGAGGGGAGGGGAGAGGCTGGAGCGGCGCCAGGTCTGTCCGGGCCCGTGCCAGCCGCGGTCGGGCGCCGGCACGACTCCTGCCCACGGGCGAGGCCCGCCCGCTGGTCGCTGTTACGGCACCTGCGGTGCGCCGAGCCGTAGGCACGGTCCGCTGGGTTTGTCGAAAGCTGGCATTGCAATCCAGAGGGCGCAGGAAGCGCGGCAGGATTTGGGCGTTCGTCACGTGATGGATAATGATTGTTTTCGGATAATGAAAAGGCGGTGCGGCCTCTGCACAGTCCAGAGCTGGATAAGCGAAAAAGATTAAAATGTGGGCACGAAATCGGTAGCTTTCACACGCCGTCCTTTGTGATGGGGCTTAAATTATTTACGATGAGCGTAGTTTCGCGAAACCACTTTGGAGGGAGAGGGTCGAACAGGATAAAACGGCTAAAGTTACCGCTAAATCTGCCCCCACAATGGCTTAACCTACCCCAAGATAAGGTAGGCTTAACCTACCTTAACCTACCTCTAAAGACGTTTATGTTGTTGGATTTAACCAACCTTTTCTCAAACATGGGAGATATGCCCCTCACCTGAAAAGGGAGCTGAAATGCGGGAACAGCAGTCAGCGACTGCTTCCATATGAGATAACGGTCTCAAGCTATTCATAGTATGAAGGATTCCAAGTAGCGCGTCAAATTCCAAAAATATTGTGCATTTTCGGCGAAACAACGAATGAACGAAGGAATGAGCGAACCATGAGATCTTGGAATCAATCCCTTACCCGAACTGCCACCAGTTGTACGATTCCTGGACACAAGTCTAGAGCGACTTCGATGCTTGAAATATGAACCTCAGTCGTTTTGGCACCCCATCGTATCAAAGTTCTCACCATGCTTTTCAACCTACAGTTAGGTTGAGTTTCTGGCAGATGGGGGCGGGAGGGAGGGTTGAGGTTCGCGGGGTCAGTTTGGCAATATCCTCCCAGGTGGTTGGGCGAATGATTATGTAGTCCTGATCAACGCGGTCCATCTCTGAGGCAGTGTATACTGAACCGGTCGTGCTGGGGACGCCGCGCCTTGGAGCAGGAGGACAGCTGCCGGAAGGCCGGGGCCAAGGCCAAGCCTGTGGCAACTCACAGCACCCGACCGGAGAGTCGGAGACAGGAACAGAGACAGAGAGAGAGAAACTACGAGTTAACGGCGTTTGTGACATGGCACTTTCCTGCTCTCATGCGGCTTTCCTGTTCGTACGTGTTGTGAAAGTAAACCACCGAGGTACATTACCCTAGTATAACCATCCCGCCCCCACCTCTAGGAAACACTAAAAGACAGCAGACTTCCAGGCCGTCCCTCGAAGAGGCGAACGCAGGCTGAGAATGGCCTTGAGGATTTACTCGGAACCCACTTACTTGGTGTCCCATTAGGTATATCCTTGACCATATGACAGTCGGTGAATTACCGACTTTCGTGCAAACTGCGGAGTGCATCGTTCAGCTGTCATCGACGTGTTCATTGCGTCGCAATCGAGGGCGATCAGCGCTCGGGAGCGCGCGGACATTGGTTCATCGGCGCGATCGGGCGCACCGGAGTGCGCGCGGAGAGCGGGCCCGACCGACTCGCGTGTGTCAAGCGTGCTCGCCTCGGTCCCACGCCGGCGCGCGCGGCCGTCCCCGGGTCCGGAGCGACAGGACGCGCCGCCGCCCGGCTCCCTGTTTCCGCAGGACCGGCCCCTCGCCACCGCGCTGGGGTTGCCATGGCGGGCCGCGTGGCGGCCGTCAGTGCCCGCCAAGGTCGGAGCGGGAGCTGGAGGCGACGGAAAACTTGTGGAAAGGAAACTCCAGGGTCGGGCCGGGCTGGCGCCGATCGAGGCCCGTGTCGGCTCCGCCGCGATGGCTGTGTCGAAGAATGCGCCCGCTTATTCCAAGGTCAGCGTGACATAAATCAGCGTCCGAGGGAGGCCACCGGCTGGAAGCGGGCCGTGGAAAGCGATGGAGCGGCGATCGGCGCCGCACGCCGCCCGGAGTCAGCTTCGTCTGACCAGCACCCACGTACGCCGACTGGATGTCACTGGGGAACCTCTCCCTGCAACATCCAGTCGGCCCGTCGAGTGTCTGGCAGTTAACGGATTTCTCCGCCGCGTGTTGTTCGCAGTCACGGTCGGAGGCCGCAGCCAACTGGCACGGGGATGGCTGGGCGAATGTTTTCACTTAGCCGATGCCCCATGATCTTGAGGGACAGATGCTGCCCAAGGTTATCTCTAACCTAAAGCGCACGGGCGTTACGCCGAGCTTCCCCGTGGTGCCCCACAATTTTTTAGAAAGTGACAGCGTCACCGGCGGATACCCGTCCTTCGCACTTACCATTCACCGCCAGAATGACCAGCGCCAACAAGCGAAGCACGCACTTCATCATCACCGCGCACTCTGACAGTCTGCGTTATCCCCCGACAGAAGATTCAGCCACCGTTGCCAGGGACGACCTACCCCAGCCGCTCACGCGCCGCCACTACTCGGGCTCCGGCATTGCCGAACGGCCGCGCAGAGCAGCCGCCAATAACGGAACGGCGCGCTGGCGGGCCAGGGGCGTGTTGCGGCTGGCTGTTTCCGCCCAGCCTCCAGCGGCCCAGCTGTCCGTCGAGGGTTGTGGGGTGCGGGTTGGGGGGGGGGGGGACGAGGGAGGGGGACGGTTTGACGATGAATGACTTCATAATTTCTCGACGTATGCGGAAATGTGCACAAGGGCGCGATTCAGGATTGCTCAATGGGATGCAGGTGGGGCACGGATAAGAAATTCACAGAAACCCAGCTTAGCGCGCCCCAGAAACGCAAAATGTCTTGCGTGCCTCAAGACAATTTCGCCTGTTTTCGATCTTATTTGTACGTGTCTACCAGGTATTTTTACCCGTCAACCTTAAGCAACGCACAAAGCTATTCATACATGCCATGACTTCGTGAAGGACGGGGTACGTGCCGGGAGGGGGAGGAGGGGGGGGGGGGACTACTGTGCACGTTCGCCCCTGAATGTGTTGATGGAAAGTTTGCAGATCGCCATCGGGCGTCGAATGTTACCAACACCTCAAACTTCCGGCTGACTGCACTAAAACAAGTCAAGCTGAGATGACGGGTGGGTTGCAGATTGTCAATAAACCAACGGCTGACTACCATTGTAACTTATTTGAATGAAGCGTCAGTTGTATAGATGAAACTCTGTGCGGATTTGGCTTAACATGTGCACCCAGTTTATCTCCGGTGGCATCGCAGTCCTGGGGAACTATGCGACACCCATGCAGCTAATGGGGTTTTGGACAAACATTTGGTCTCATTTACACGGCACTAGTTAAACTGTGCACGGGAAGGCCTTCGAAGTATTGCTCCCACCGCAATGATCCTCTGTCCTGATCTGCCTGACAGTAGTTCAGCGCCGTCAATCGATTATCCTCTGCCCTGATCCGTGTGACAGCAGTTCAGGGCCGTTGGTCGTGTCGGTCGCCCACGGAGATCGCGTTGGTCGCCCACGGAGATCGTGTCGGTCGCCCACGGAGATCGTGTTGGTCGCCCGCGCGTTGGTCGCCCTCTTGGGATACGGGCACCATGGAAGTCCGCTGACCGGGAGAGAAACAAACCATTTGAGGCTAATGGCAGAAACAAGCACAATACCCATGGTTTGAGTTTCGTAAGTATGCTGCGGGCGAATATTCTAATATGTATGCTCTTGACTTGTATCGAGCTCGTGATCACTTCACATCTTCTGCTTGACCTGAGCTTTCGAAGTCAGAACTGCCAAAGACCCAAATAGTGTCGCTGGCATTTTCGGCGAACCCGCACGGCCTCCTTGCCCCCCCCGCCCTTCCCCCCCCCCCCCCCTCCCTCCGGACGTGTCCTGTCCGGGCCTCCCTTTCCTTCCTTGTCGTACTTTCGTACTTCCTTGTATTGCTTTATTATCCCTGCGGCCCTTATTCCTAAACAACCTTAGGCGCCACGGCTAAGGTATCTTGCCACGTATCACGCCTTTGGATTGTCTCAGCGCCCCCTCGGCCATATTGGGACGCAGTGGCAATCTCAACGTCTTGGTGCTCGATTTTCTTGGGTACGTTTATTTCTAATATTTTACCCGGGTGACTGTCCGATCATTTCGAGTATTCTGATGGTGTTTCGGTGCCTCTGTCGCGGTTGACAACACTTGGCCGACTTGGAAACCGCCTGACTGGCAGAGTGCCCCGGACGGCCTGGGACGAATGTCCCTGCATTGGGTAGATTTGTCCTTGATTTCGCTCCGTCGGAGCAGATTTCGTTAATGACTCAGTTCATTGTTTGGGGTTGATTCATTGTCTGACTCCGACCACCACCAGCACTACCCGATTTTAATTGGATTCCGTCTCCGAGGAACATGGCATGATCGTGAACACCAATCCATGGCCAACGGTTCACGTTGTGAACCGGCCAATGATAGGCAAAAAGCACGCATTTACTGAGACGCTTATCATGTACATTGTACATGATAAGCGTCTCAGTGTATTGGCGAGACAAAAACAGACGTCTTTGGTAATTGCAAATTTCTGCGTTTGTTATGGTAAACCAACTTATGGTATATGCGTGCACGTGCCAAGTACGTCACACCGCTCGCACAGGTGCACAAAGGTAACAACTATTAATCCACCATCACCGCGTTTCCACGAAGCCGCATTTTGACAGTTTTTGTTACCACCCTGTTCTGCATTTGCTGGACACGCATATTAGTTTTGCACGCGCTTAAATATCGCCACGATGTATACATGTCAAAACCATCATTTATCGATGTATATGGGCTGCACCGAAATCCACTGATGAATGTGAGAATTGTATGGGATAAAACAAGACCTTCAAGTCGGGGGTTTTCGTCTCCCTGTCCATCTTATTACATGTTTTTGAGATCTGCGTGTGAAACGTATATATCGTCGGAAGAAAGTATACTCCGTTGTTTTTTCTTCAGCATCGGCCCGGTTGTTCCCGAGATATTGACGGGAGAGGGGGGTGCGGTACGTTGCGGGCCTCCCATGTCTCCGGATTAGGGTTATTGGGGAGCCCTCCGGAATTGAGTGGAAGATCTTAGCTGGCACAGTGTCACAAGGTCCCTAATAATTTCGGAGGTCCCGCGGACTATCTAATAGTGTCTTTTGGCTGTATTAGAACCGTTGCCAGTCCGATTGGCCTACCTGATTTATCGGTGACTGTCTCAGAATTTACTAACCGCCGGTCGGTCGCATGGAATCCCCGATCGATCGCGTGGAATCCCAGATCGGTCGCGTGGAATCCCCGATCGGGCGCATGGAATCCCCGATCGGTCACGTGGAATCCCATAATGCTTTCGCGAATGCTTTAGAAACCATTGTTTGTGGACGTCATGACTGATTTGCAAATGCACGTGATCTGTTTACAAATGCGGACGTGTCCGAGCATGGGAGCGTGTTGTGAGTCCTGTAGATGGACTGCGGGCCGGCCCGGGTGGGCCCCGGCGCTCCTGGTCGGTCGGGCTTGGGCCGGGAGCGAGCTGGGCGAGCGCGGCGGACTGGCTGGCGCCAGCTCGGATCGGGAGCGGACTAGGCGAGCGCGTCGGACTGGCCGGCGCCAGCTCGGACCGGGAGTGACTACGCGAGCGCGGCGGACTGGCTGGCGCCAGCTCGGATCGGGAGCGGACTAGGCGAGCGCGGCGGACTGGCCGGCGCCAGCTCGGACCGGGAGTGACTACGCGAGCGCGGCGGGCTGGCCGGTGCCAGCTCGGATCGGGAGCGGGCTGGGCGAGCGCGGCGGACTGGCCGGCGCCAGCTCGGACCGGGAGCGAGCTGGGCGAGCGTGACGGACCGGCCGGTGCCATCTCGGATACTCTGTCGGAGCTGGGATCGCTCACCCTCAGTGCAATCAATACCTGTTCGGCAGCCGGATTTTACGATCTGAACTGGTGGTAGCGACACGGCAGTGACAAACAGTTTGCAGGTAATTTTAATGGTTGGGAATGCATGGCGTACGTGGACTGCCGGGAGAGGAAGGAGCTGACGCCTTTGTGATAACACTTCCTGGTTTGTTGGACGGGTTGGCACTGCGAGGCCGGCGCGTTGTCACCTCAAGATTGTGTGATGTTTTAAATGGACGTAACGCAATGTTGCGAAAAAATTGCATGTGGATCGGAGCGCTTGTTGAAAATAACTCGCTGCAAAGACTTCCCAATAGTCCAATTCCTCAGGCCCAGAACCTCCAACATGCCAGCACAGCAATTCCAGCTCGCTGGGCAATTTCCCCGAAAGACCTGTACGTGCCACGCGGTGCCACGACGCGGCCTGGTCTGTTTCAGCCTGTCCCTCGCAGCCAGTTAGCAGCTGGCCATCACATTAAGTTGGCTGGATGACTTCTGGACGGTGCTTGGAGCATGGACACACATTCAGACTGTTTGCCTCAGACTGGTGTACTCAGGGCACCAGACTGTCTGCCTCAGACTGGTGAAGTCAGCACCAGACTCTCCGCCAACCCGGTTTGAAGTTCAGACTTCGTGTCTCAGACTGGTGAACGCGGTGTAGCCGTAGCGGCTCCGCGGATCGTGATGAGCTCCAGTAATATAGAAAATGACTCCCAATAAATCGTACAGTAGGCCCATGAGCTCTAATAACAACGACGCTGGTGGCTGTCGTTTAAATGTGTTGTTGATGAATGTGCTCCCGGTCTTGTTAAGGAAGGGCTACATAAAGGGGAAGCACGTGGGCCTGTGTTTGGGGGCCTCCCCTTTACGTGTCCTCTGAGTTGAAAGTAGGATGACGAAGGCAGTGATACAAAAGACCAGCCACAGCGTTTGTCCCTGGCGATGTGCGTGGAAATGGAAAGTAAGTTCGATGTAGGTGTATGCGGAAGTGTAACCTAAGTTCGAATGCACATCCGTTTTCTGGGCGCCGGACCAGTCACCGTGGGGGGCCAGCCCACCCCGTCGACCGCTGACGAGAGAAAGGGGGGGAGGGGGACATTGGACAGCGACAGCTGTGCAGATTAGGCCTAATGTTACGGCTAGCTTACATATGAAATTAAACGCCCGCCGGCGGCTAGCAAACGCACCCCAATCAATGGAAGTGGTGCAAAATGATTCTGGGACGAAAGGGACCGGAGGTAAAAGGAAGCGAACAGGACATGCCTACCGCGGATCTCCGCCGTGTTGGTTGCCTTCCATCTCCACCCCGCATCCAGACGCCGCCACTGTGGACGCCCCTCGTGTGACACATGGGCGCGCCACTGACGCCAGCTGACGGCTGCGACGGGAGTCGGCTGGCTCCTGGAATGCAGGACGGGGGGGGGGGGGGGGCGCTTCAGTGACGCCTGGGGTCCGATCGTTTGTATAAAGTAACGCAGTAAGCAGGGAGCAGGCTGCATCCGCTAGACCCGCCTGATGCGCCTCATTTGGTGAGGACCTTGCTTGCGCCCGGCCCAACGTTGCCCCTGACTATAACTTTTAAGATGTACGCCTGATATATTAAGATGTCACACAGTCGAGTTCTACGCCTCATATT